AGAGGGAGAGGAACCTGCTCAGCATCACACAGCCCAGGGTGGACAGACGGGGTCTGGCCCCCAGATGTCCAAGCCTCTCTTCCATGGTGTCTGTTGTCCCCTAGAAAGGTGGCGGCGCCCTCCTGCACTCGGTCAAGGCCAAGACCCAACCAGCCGTCAAGAACATATACCGCTCGGTGAGGCTGAACTGGACAGGCCACTCTTGCTCGGGTCACAAGGGAGAGGGGACAGAGGACACTTCGACCGCTTAGTGGGGATGAGACATTTTCACCCCAGCATTCTAAGTGCAAATATGTTTATCAGAACTGGACCAGCAGCCGGGCATGGTGGCGCATGCCTGTAGTTCCAGCTACTCGGGAGGCTGAGGCAGGAGGATCGCTTGAGCCCAGGATATTGAGGTTGCTGTGAGCTAGGCTGCCGCCCTGGCACTCTAGCCCAGGCAAGAGTGAGACTATGTCTCGAAAAAAAAACAAAACAAAACTGGACCAGCACTTAAACCGTTAACAATTCTTCCCACTTTTATTTTTCATAGACCATACTCATTTTAATCACAATCATTTGCTGCCTATTTGAAATTGACAGCCAAGATTCATTAGCCAACATCTTTTATCCTCAGATACAATCCCAGCTTCTGCCCTGTGGTGTTTTGTTTTTGTTTGCTCCCAAACCCAAAAGTTCCCTGGGGCCAACGTTAGCAGCTCGACATTGTCCATTCGATTTTATTCTTCACGACTTTGAGACACGAACACCTTTGTGCCATGTTGCTTGTGCCATGTGCCACTCCCCCTTTTCATCTGGGGGGGTTACTTCCTTCAGGAATATTCTTCTTGTAGTCATCAAGGGGGGCGAAAGTTTGTATTAACTTCCCAGGTGGTGGCGCATGGAGAATCGTGGGCATATTTGTGGGACACAGATGGACAGATGGCAGCTGTCCTAGGGGACAGAGGGCTGAGTTCTCAAACGCCCAGGGTCCAATCACCCTTGCGTCTAATTCTTCCCTTGGCCCCTTCGTAGGCCAAGAGCGGCTTGAAGGGTGTGCAGAGCCTCATGTTCAAGGTAAGACCCATGAATCGCCAATAATACCAATGTGGGGGGCGGCAGAGGGGCTCCCAGCTCATGCATCCTCTTCCTAGGAGGGGGACTCTGCCCTCCAGAGGGGGGGCTCCCTGAGGGCCCTCAGCCACTCAGATCGCCTGCAGCAGCGTCGGCCCATCATTCAGCACTTTGGACAGGTGAGAAGGCCCCTCCTCCACACACACCTGGAATATCCCTCCAACCAACCAGACCTCTCACCTCCCTCTTTACCTCCCTAATACTTGGTACCTGCCTCAAACTCACCCTCCTCTGGAAAGCCCCAGCCCCCTGATCCTACAGCTCCTGGGGTCTTAGCCCCCACCCCCAAAATCTATCCTTTGCAGAACAGGCCCCTTCGCCCCAGCAGGAAGCTCCGCCTAGAAGAAGGACCTTCTGAGCCCCCAAGGGAGGGGTAAGGCTCAAAGCAGGGTGCCGCTGCTAGAAGTGGAAGGCCAAGTCTGATGGGGAGGAGGGTCCCCAAGCCCTCTAGAACAGCCCGATCAGAACTGAGGGGTGTCAGGCAAATATCTGAGGCCACCTGTCCCCACGCCCAGGACACCCCCTCTGAGTCCTGAGGGCGCCCAGGGCCTGTGGGCAGAGGAAGCTCTGGACAGCAGTTTCTTGGGGTCTGGGGAAGAACTGGACCTGTTGAGCGAGATTCTGGACAGTTTAAGCGTGGAAGCCAAGAGCGCAGGCAGCCTGCGGCCGAGCCAGAGTCTAGACTGCTGTCACAGAGGTGACCTGGACAGCTGCCTCAGCCTGGTGAGAGACAGCGAGCACCCCATCCCAATATTCCCCGCCCCACCCAACTCGCCAGCCGCTGCCCCATCTGAAGGCCACCAACTTGCTGTCCCTCCACCCTGCCCAGCCCAACATACCAGGATGGCAACCGGAGGAGAAACCCTCAGAGCCCCAGCCCTCGTCCCTGCCTGTGCACCTGCCGTCCCTGCAACACGCCCAGCCTATGGACGACACCTGTGCCTCAAAGAACCCCGATCCCCAGCTGCCCTCAGAGGCCGAGCAAGAAGTCACCTCTTCATCCCAGTCCTGGACAGCGTCTGCAGACCCAAGCAGCCAAGGGACCCCTGAATCCTCCCCTTTCACAGAACCTCTAATCCTTCATCTCTCCCCTCCCCCCACAGCGGCTGAAGATTCTAGAGCCCAGGAGAGCTCCTGCTCCACGCTCCCCACAGCTCCCACCCAGCCCAACCCTCCAGAAAGCCCCCCACTTCTGCCCCCCACAAAGCCCAACCTTGACACTGCCTGGACGTCCCAGCCCCTGCATTCTTCCTCGGGGCCCAGCTCTCCGGAGACCCCCACGACCCGGCCTCCCAAGGTCCTGTCAGCAAGGCGTGCTCACCTCCAGTCGCCGGAGGAGCAGGGAGCCCCCGACCCCCCCGCCCCACCCACCAGCAGCTGGCAAGAACCCCAGGCCAGGAGCCGGCCCCGAGTCTCTGACCTTAAGAAGTGCTTTGAGGGTTGAAAGATCAGGGGTCCAGAGGACACCCCAGTCCCTCAATAAAGCCACAAGAGCCCACGGCTGGTTTTTCCTGGTGAGTTTATCTGGGGCCCTCTCTCTGCTCAGAAACCCACCCCACCCACCTCCCTCCCTCCAGGGGCATCTGAAACTCCCTAGGGGGGCCATTCCAGGAAGTCCCCTGCCCAGTCCCCTAGGACCCTTGCAGCCTTACAATTCACCTCTGCAGTTGCTTCCTCCATCTAGGTTAATGCCCCCACCAGCTCAAAGAAAGCTTTTATTATATCTCACTACCAATTTCATATAAATACGTAAAAAGTGAGCAGCCCCACCCTCCCGTGCCGCCAGGGGCAAAGCCTTAGAATTGAAGCACCTTCTTCCCTTCTATTCTTAAGCACAAGGTGGGTCTGAGTGCCCAGAGAGGGCTGTGCCTTCATTCCCCAAAGGCCACACAGCAATGAAGTGTGGGGTGGGGGTTGAGAGGAGGGGACCTAGATGGGCAGGCAGCCCCGCACCGGCTCCTTGGAGTCTTGGGGGGCCCGGGCCTCAGCTGCATGGGAGAACTGCAAGAAAGGAGACGGGGTTGTGGGGGCCGCGCGGCACAGCGGAGATGGCTCAGCAAGCGGGGACCAGGTCCCCAGCCCTGGCACCCCCAGCCGCGGTCAGGGGCAAGCAGAGGCAGCATGCTGCGTGCAGAGCCTGCCAGGCGGGTGCCCCTCGCCCCTCTGCCCCCCATGTCCTCCTGAGCCCTCAGAGGCTGGTGTCTTGGTGGCAGCTGCTGTGTTCGAGCCAGCACCCAGCAGTCCTGAGCAGTGGTGGCGGCTGCAGCGGGCCCCAGTGTTCAGATGAGCCGCTCCTCCGGCGGCAACTTGAGGTTGGGGGGCGGTGGCACGCGGGCACCCACCTGCTCCTCGCTGCTGGGCCGGTAGGTGCCCTCCGTCTGCCGCTTCTCTCGAAGTTTCCGTACCAAGAGCGCCAGCCCCACAGCCAGGAGCAGGGCGCCCAGGATGGAGAAGACCACAATGATGGCGGTGATGGCTTCCTGAGACTGCGGCGAGGGGACAGGTGTGACTCACCTGAGCCTGGGGGTCCTGTCCACCCCCACCTGGGCGGCATCCTCCCCCACATACGCGCACACACACCTGCCACTTTTAGTGACCTGGTCTGGGGTTCCTAGAGCCTCATCTACCTTTTCCAGGGCTCCGAGGCTCCCCCACCTGCCAGGTCTGGGATTCCTGCTTTTCCGAGTACCTGCCACATCTGGGACCCCTGCTCCTGCCACATCTACCAAGTCTTAGCTCGACCGCTGCCTGAGGGGCACACGGGGCTGCTGACACCTGCCGTGTGCAGGATTCCTGTGTGCCCCCCAGCGGCTCCTAGTCTCCCTGCTCTGGGACTTCACATCTCCCGGTTTACCTCCATTATGATGCTCTGGTCTCTTCCACTTCGGGCTCTCCCATGCCACCCTGGCCTGCCACCTCTGGGGGCAGGGGTCTAGTCCCCTCTACTTGCTACATGTGGGACCCCCTAAATAACATCCCTGCTGCCCTCTTCCCACATGTACCCCCAACTCACCAGGGCCCCATTGGAGCTGGAGCCAGAGGGTAAAACAGTGGTGCTTCCATTGGCAGGAGTGGTCGGTGCTGAGGGGGCTGGACAGAGAATAAATCAGTCCCCAACTGGCCTTCCCGACTCAGCCCAGTCACACCTCCCTAGAGCACTGCCCCAAGACCCCCAGCAGGGCCCACTTAAAACTGCCCCACTGAGTCTGTCTTTGGCAGGCAGCCCCCCCCAGCCCAGCAGAGCCCAGCAGGGAGTAACCAGCGGTTGTTTGTGCTGAGTTGGGGGCTGTTATACCAGGAGGTGTCCGGAAGCCCAGCCCTCCCCCCTCACCTCTTGGGCCCAGGAGCCCTTAAGGACCTGGGCGGGTCTTGCTTTTCCCTGGAGTGTCTGACTCACACCTCCCCCCAGGCTCCCGAAACTAGAATTGAAGGACTGAATGGCTGGGTCCCCACCTAGAGCCAGCCCCTCCTCCCGGCTCCCAGAACACCTCAACTATACTCGGGTACACAGAGGTACACGAGTCTCCCTTTCTCCCGCGTTCTTTTTGGGCACCCCAGCCTACAGTTCCACCCCCCTCGGGAACGCAAGAGTTCTCCTACACCAACCTCCACCGTCCAAGGAAGGAGCCAGAAATCCTAAACCCCCAGGCTAACCCTGTAGACCCCTCCCCAAGGTACCCCATGCCCACTCCCCAATTCGAGAGCCTTCTCTCTGCGTCCCGGGCGCCCAGCGCTTCTAAGCCCCGCCCCCAGCAGAGACGAAAGAATCCGGACCCTCCCCCCAGCGCTCCAGCCCGGTACCTACTTTGCCCCCGGGCTCGGCCCCAGCGGGCAGGCAGCAAAGGTAGGCCCAGCGCCAGGAGCAGCCCCAGGCCGGGGTTCGCCATGGGCTGGGTGGCGGGTTGGCAGCGCCGGGGATGGGGCTTCTCGCGCTCGCCTCTCCTACCGCATCTCGCGCCCGGGGTACCTACGGCTGGGCACCTGGAGGCGGGAGAAGGAGAGAGGCCCGGTGTGGGGCTGGGGGCTGGACCCGGGCGCAGGCCCACGGGAGAGGCGACCGGCGCCAGGGCACCCCAGAGTCCCGCCCCGCCCCCGTCGCCAGAGGTCAGCGATTAAAGATTAACTTCCCAGGCGCGCGTTCTTGAGCTGGGGAAAGGAAGGGGAATCGGTGAAGGGGGCTGGGAGGCGACAGACCAAGCCGCGCGTCCTGCCGCCCCTACCTGGCCCAGGCGTCTTAGACCTCGCTCAAGTTCCTGGTCTCGATCCCTCTCTCGAACCCTCGGTCAGTCCGTCGGTCGCTCGGTCCGACCCCACCGGCTCCGCCCGCTCACGTGACCCGGAAAGTTTAGTCACTCACCTGGGAGGGGAGCGCACTTCCGGCTTGTGCACCTGAGCCTAGATGAGAGGGCGGAGCCAAGAAGGGGGCGGGGCCGCGCCCAGGGCGCACCTGTAACGGAAAGCCAATCCCAGAATGAAGAAGCCTGCAGATGTCAGAGGGACCTCACACCTGTACTGCGGGCACATCTGTAGGAGCGCACAGGTGTGAAAACACACGGGGCACGTAGACACGCGTGTATGAGGCACTCCTGCCGAAAAAACACCCGCGTGGTCAAGACCTGTATGGGGACAAACCTGTATGGAAGATGCCTGCACGGATTCACGTGTAAGAACGCTTACAGGCTACAACTGTATTGAACCACATCTATATAAAGTATAACTGAATGGAAGCACACCTGTGTGGAAAACATCTGTATAGAACACACCTGCATTATAGCAAACATCTGAGTAGGCACTGTGGTGCGGTGTAGACCTGTTTTGGAAATGCATCTGCATGGCACATCTGTGAAATGTACAACGCTTGTCTGCGGGAATTCCTGCGTGGAAATGTATTGTAAATACCTGTATGAGACACACCTGTGGGTAAGTACACCTGTATGGGACTATGGGACTTAGTTCTATGGAAACGTACTCAGATGGGTGTGTGCTTGATGGAACACACCTACTGGGAGGGAGACTGTATAATGCATTCATGGGTGGAGGAACACTTGTTGAGAAACGTACCTGTGAGGTAAAAGAAACCACCTTGTATGAGAAACACCTGCGTAAAATTGTGCTCAAGCGAAGGAAAGACCTGGGAACATCTGCATGAGGCACGCCCGCATGGAAGCACATCTGTGGGGAGGACCAGCAGGACCGAGGCTCACGTGTATGGAGGCCCACCTGTCAGAGAAAAAAATAACACCTATTTGGGGCATCTCCGTGGGAAAACATCTGTATCCCTCATGTTGCGGGTCACCTGCAAGGAACACCTGTGTATGAAAACATCTGCTAGGAGACCCTTTATAACGGATCCATTTGCTACCACACACCTGTTTGAACACACCTGTCTGGGCAGGAACGAAACGTGTCAACCCCTGCTGTACCCCTCGGCGGGCATGAGCCCTGGGGAAGGAGGATCGCTCACCCTCCTGTTTCCTTATCTGAAACGTGGGAAAACCAGTACCACCTACTTTCTAGGGTTTTGGCGAGGACGACGCGAAAGGTGAGTAAAAGTCCTGGCATGTGCAGCGCGCTGAATCAAAGTCAGCTATTGTTATTATGAAGTGGTCTGGGCGCCCCTCCCCCTAATGGCGAGTCGAGAAACTGCGCCCGAAACTAGTGGGCGGGACAATCAGCAGGTGCAGCGAGCGCGACGAGCTGGGGCCCCGCCTCCAGCGCTTGGCCACCGGGTCACCTGCGGGACACTGAGACCCCCAACAAGCAGGTTTGGAGACAGCAGCCTGCCTGGCCTCTGGAGCCGGCCGCGGCCCCTTTAAGACTGCCTGGCGGGCGGCGGGACCGCGGGGGCCCAAGGCAGCCCCGGGTCAGCGGGGAGGCCCCGCCCAGTTGGGCGGGCGAAGTGGGCTGGGTGGGCGGGGCTCTGAATGCTCTGGCCAATAGAAAGCCGACTTGGCAGCCGCGCCGCGCGTTGATCTTCCGTTTCCCAGTCTGAGTGAGACTGAGAAAGGAGGCGCGCGGGCGGGACGAAGGGACCGGGGTTGGTGGCGCGGGGCAGAGGGAGCACCGCGTCTTGATCTTCTGTTTCTGCGGCCGGGCGGGGAATGTGACACGGGCGGGCGGGCAGGTGGAGCGCTAGGTGGCGCAGGGTTCTTGCGTAGATCTGAGGAAAGCGAGAACTTTAGTTCCCGAAAATTAGTAGGGGAGGGAAGTCAAGCGGAAAGAGATTACGAAACAATCCTTAACATCCTCCTACTTCACCGCCTTGGAGAACGGGTAAAGGGGAAACTGAGGCACGCAGAGGCAAGACCCTGAAACTAGACCTGAGACGACTGAGCGCCCTAGCCCCTCTTCCCAAGAGGAGCCCCGATGCCCCCCGGCTGTGCAATGCCAGAGCATCCCAGACGTCCCTCCCCACGCCCCCAGCTCCGCCTTCCGCCCCCTCCCCCCAGTGCGGGGCGGGGGAGGAGACGCAAGTTCTGGCGCGGGCGGCGACGGCTAGCAGTCGCCACCCCCTGCGAGCGCCAGAGCCGGACCAGCCGCACGGAGGCTGCTGAGCCGGTGACCGCGGAGCTGGCCCTGCGGGGCCCCGGGGGGGAGGGGGAGCCGCAAAGCCCCCGCTGAGGCCGCCGTGGCCGGGCCTCCCCTCCCCCCCGGGCCGGCGCCATGCGGGGGGGCCCGGGAGACGCGGAGCGGCGACAGCGCTGGGGTCGCCTCTTCGAGGAGCTGGACAGTAACAAGGATGGCCGCGTGGACGTGCACGAGTTGCGCCGGGGACTGGCCAGGCTGGGCGGGGGCGACCCAGACCGCGGTGCCCAACAGGTACCCCCGCCGGGACCCCCCACCTAGAGCCCACGCCCGGCAACCCGAGCCCCTGAGTGGGCCGGCCGGAGCCGCTGGGGACTACCTGTGGCTGGACTCCAGGACCTGTGTCCGGGTTTCCTTCCCCTGACCCACGCGCGTCGGGCCTAAGCGGACGGCTCCAGGCAGGGCCACGAGGCCCCGGGCCTGCAGTCCGGCCCCGGGCCAACACCGAACCTGGGGGTGGGGGCCGTCTGCCTGGGAACAGAGCGGGTGCCTCCTGCCCGGGACACACCCTCCTCCGGACTCCGCGCGGCCCGAGGCGTGCCCTGCTCCCACCTCCGGGAGACACACCCTCCGCCCTCCCCAGGGCACCCCCTGCCCTGCAGCCCGCCGCCCCGGGCCCTGTGTTTACATTCTCCCGCCGGCTCTGCCGGGCTTGGCTCCTTGCCCTGGGCTGCCCCAAGCCGGGGACCCAACCCAGTCTGAGACCACCCTCAGCTAGGGGAAAGGCACCTGTCCAGGAAGGACCTTCCTCCCCTCCCCCTACCTTGCAGGTGTTCCCCGCACCTGTAGCCTCAGATGCCCCTAAAGCATCTCCACCTCCTCCAGTGCGGCCGCCCACTTCCCAGATGGGAACACCAAGGCCGACATACTGCTCAGCTTGGATCTCCCCTGGCCCGCAGAGCTCAGGGCTGTCTCCCAGGGGAGCTCCTGAGACCACCATGTGGACATAGGTTGTTTCTTTAAAGAGCCAGCCGGGAGGACAGGCTTCAGAGACCAGCACCCAAGGTTACCACTTCCTGGCTCTGTGACCTTGAATGTGTTACTTGACCTCGCAGAGCCTCAGATGGCTCCTGGGGAAAACTGCTCAACTGATAAGCCACCTTCCATACCTGTGGTGGCCTTGGGCATCTTGCAGGGAAGTGAACCGACTGAGGGAAGGGGGGTGACATCCTCTGTCCCCTTCCCCACCGCCAGGGCGCCTCTCCTGAGGGTGGCGCTGACCCAGATGGCGGGCTGGACCTGGAAGAGTTTTCCCGTTATCTGCAGGAGCGAGAACAGCGCCTGCTGCTCATGTTTCACAGTCTTGACCGGAACCAGGACGGTAAGGCAGGCTGTCCCGCCAAGGTGGGGGGGGTGGGGCTGGGGCTGGGGGGCCTGGGAGCCGTCAGTGGGGTTAGAACTGGCAGGCTGGGAGGAAGGGGGAGGGCCACTTCTCCCTGGTGACTCACAGGCTATTTCGGGAGCGCTCCTCACCCCCAGCTAGGTGGTTCGAGGCCCAGCCAACCCAGCCCACTTCCGTCTCCCTTCCCTGGGCAGAACCCCTCACTTCTTTTGGATTCCCTATAGAGGGGCAGAGACTGCCCCCCGTAGCATCTTCTGGGTTTCAAATATTGCCTCTCAAGCCCCTGTGACATAGAGACCCCTGTAGTTACCGCTGGATTCATTCATTCGTGGATCAGAGGACCCCCCCCCAATATTGCCCAGTTCCACCTCTCTGATGCCAGTGGGTCAGGGATGCTCCCCCAAAACCCTGCCACAAACCTTGCCCTGGGTTTCTGGATCTCCTGGTCTTGCTGGACCATCTCCATTCCAAGCTGTCCTGATCCCTGGTCCTGGGGTTCCCCAGAGTCCCCACATACCCCCCGTCCCCCTCCTCGGGCCCTCTCTCCAGGTCATATCGACGTCTCTGAGATCCAGCAGAGTTTCCAAGCTCTGGGCATTTCCATCTCGCTGGAGCAGGCAGAGAAAATTCTGCACAGGTGAGTCGTTAGGGGTCTGGAATCCCAGGTATCTCAGGACCCTGGGACCCCTCGGCCACCTTGAACTTCTGGGCCTTAGCCCCAACCCCAAGGAGGGTAGAGCTGAGAGGTTGGGGCTTTGGAGTCAAACAGACCTGAGGCCCACTTGCCTCCTTTCTCCCAGCCTCAGTTTCCCCCTCTGTAAAACGAGGACAGTAACACCACCTCCCCGAGATGTCCCCAGGACAGGGTTAGTATGAGGACAGCCCGCGGAACGTGATTAGACCAGCACTAGACACGTGGCAAGCTCCCAGTGTGTGGAAGCTCGCTCTCCCCCCAGAACTGCAAATCCCAGCAGAACCTCCCCCCAGCGCCCCCAGCCCCAGGCACTGAGCCTGTCCCCGCTCCCGTTCTCCCTGTCCCCCACCCCCAGCATGGACCGCGACGGCACAATGACCATCGACTGGCAGGAATGGCGCGACCACTTCCTGTTGCATTCGCTGGAGAACGTGGAGGATGTGGTCTATTTCTGGAAGCATTCCACGGTGAGGTGGGGGTGGCGGCTTTCCCCACCGGGAGACTGTGCCCCCTCCCCAGGGGCGAGGGGCCTTTGTTCCTTTCTCCCAGGGCTTGGAAAGGCTGGGCCAGAATTCTCTAGAAGGAGAAGGCACTGGCAGCAGCTGGGAGATGAGACCCTCTCTTCCTCCACTTGGGGTGCAGGGGTCCCGTTCGGTTCGTCTCTGCTATCCCATTGGAGCCCAGCCCTTCAGACTTCCTTTGGGGTCTCCAGGGTTGGCGTGTGGGGGCTGGAGACACAGAGAAGAAAGAGCTCCCCAGATGGGCCACCGGGCCGCCCACCCTCCACCCACACGGCTCCCCTTCTGCCGGGTTCTCTTTGCCTGAATAAAGGGTTCTTGTGCTGAACAGAAAAGTCGGGAGGCCACTGTCTTTGGAGGATCCAGTGGGATCCACTGGGAAGGGGTTGCTCTAGATCCCCACTTCCTGGGTGGGAATCCACAAGTGACGCATCCGGTGCGATCTCATGGCATCTGTGGGAGGGTATGTGGCCCTGGGGAGAATCTTCTGGAATCTTTATATGGGAGACCCTTGACTGGGAGCCTTCAATGGGGTCTGATTAGCTCTGGAGAGATCTTCATGTGGCAGGGTCCTTCGGTGGGATTTGGTGGGTCCTTCGGTGGGATTTGGTGCATCCTTCGGTGGGATTTGGTGGGTCCTTCGGTGGGATTTGGTGCATCCTTTGGTGGGATTTGGTGGGTCCTTCGGTGAGATTTGGTGGGTCCTTTGGTGGGATTTGGTAGGTCCTTTGGTGGGTCCTTCAGTGGGATTTGGTGGGTCCTTTGCTGGGATGTGGGTCAGGTCTCCAAGAGGGATGTGAGGGCCTTACAGGGAGACCGCCAGGCTGGATGGTTTGGTGGCATCTGGAGGTTCCAAGAGGCATCTCCTGGGCTCTCCAAGCCAGCGTCGTTGGCAGCCTCTCTGGGGTGTCCTGGCATGGGCGGAGGAGACTCCCTCACTCAGGACCAAGCCACCTGTCCTTGTCTCTGCCATGGCCTGACATCCCCGGCCCCTGTGCCCTCAGGTCCTGGACATTGGGGAAAGCCTGACTGTGCCGGACGAATTCTCAAAGAAGGAGAAGCTGACGGGCATGTGGTGGAGGCAGCTGGTGGCGGGCGCGGTGGCGGGCGCCGTGTCGAGGACGGGCACGGCCCCTCTGGACCGCCTCAAAGTCTTCATGCAGGTGAGGGGCCCTGGAGAAGCCCACCCACCCCCGCAGGCCCGGGACCCCGGAGGGGACCTCAGAGCCGCCTTATCTCCCCATTCAGGTCCACGCCTCCAAGGCCAACCGGCTGAACGTCCTGGGGGGCCTCCGGAGCATGGTCCGCGAGGGGGGCATCCGCTCCCTGTGGCGAGGCAACGGCATCAACGTGCTCAAGATCGCGCCGGAGTCAGCTATCAAGTTCATGGCCTATGAGCAGGTGTGAGCAGGGGCAGGGAGGGGTGTGCTTGGCGCGGGGTGGCCTGGGCTAGACGTGAAGACTTTATGGGATTGGCTTGGGGGCAGGGGACGAATGGATGCAGGCCCCGGCAGTGGGCATCAGCCTCTCCGCGTGAGGCCCCCAGCAGGTCGGGTCCACGGAAGTCAGGAGAACAGTGGAGTGCAAGGACGGCTCAATCCCCGCCACCCTCCCCATCCCTGTGTCTCCCACCCTCAGATCAAGCGGGCTATCCTGGGGCACCAGGAGACACTGCATGTGCAGGAACGCTTTGTGGCTGGTTCCCTGGCCGGTGCCACGGCCCAAACCATCATTTACCCCATGGAGGTAAGAAGGAGGGACCCCGGAGGAGGGCCCATTGCCGGGTAGGGAGCCCTCTGTACCCACTTCACACCGCATTGCATGACACGCACTGGGATGGTACCTCCGCCTCGCTCTAGTTCAAACTGCAGCTCATTAGAGCAGTGCTGTGTCGTGCGTCGCCTGTCTGGTTATTTGGGATATATTTTCTGGGGACAGCAGTGTTGCTTTATCACTGTTGGGATGGTCATCATGGGAGCCAGCTGTTTACAAATATGCCTCTTCTAAGGATAGGAAGCTTGTTCCCAGGGGCAGCATTTCTAGGTGTCTAGCTGTTTTCAGAGAAATTATATCAGGTTTCAGGTTGTGCAGTGTATCGTTAAAATTCTGAAGGTGACAGAAAACTTAAATCACATGAATGAAGTCTACAGATGAGCAATTCAGGCTTGGAGTGGTAGCTTCAGAGTGTTGGGGACCCAGTTCCTTCTGTTTATCTTGTTGTTCCACCACCTCACGGACCAACATGGCTGCTGGTGCTCCGCCCAACATATCCCATATTCCAGCCAAGAAGGAAGAAGCGACGGAGGAGGAGAAACACCTCCACACCTCTAAGGATACTCTCTGAACCTCACATATATCTCCTTCTCCTCCTTCTGTTTTACTGGCTAGGACTTAGTGACATAGCCACATACCTAAGGAATCGGGGGGAAACAGAGTCTTCATTTTGTAGTGGCTGTGTGTTTGCCGAAAGTTACAGTTTCTGTTGCTAAGAAAGAAGGGGACAAGCCGGGCGCGGTGGCTCACGCCTGTAATCCTAGCTCTCTGGGAGGCCGAGGCGGGCGGATTGCTCGAGGTCAGGAGTTCGAAACCAGCCTGAGCAAGAGCGAGACCCCGTCTCTACTATAAATACAAAGAAATTAATTGGCCAACTGATATATATATAAAAAATTAGCCGGGCCTGGTGGCGCATGCCTGTAGTCCCAGCTACTTGGGGAGGCTGAGGCAGGAGGATCGCTTGAGCCCAGGAGTTTGAGGTTGCTGTGAGCTAGGCTGACGCCACGGCACTCACTCTAGCCTGGGCAACAAAGCGAGACTCTGTCTCAAAAAAAAAAAAAAAGAAAGAAAGAAGGGGACAAAAACAGTGGGACATAGTGTTGGCTGCCACGTGGCACTCTGGTGGGTGTCACCGTTTCTAGCCGTAGAGATTCGGGGTTAGCAGAAGATCGTAGGTGCGTGTTTTTTGCTGATTCGGTTATCATTCTCAAGGCATGGAGGAGTAGCTATTTCTAGGTGGCTTCGTTCCTGGGGGGCAGTGGTTTGGGGGCGGGGCAGCTTTTCCTGGGATAACCGGGAACTCCCCAGGTGCTGAAGACGCGGCTGACCCTGCGCCGGACGGGCCAGTACAAGGGGCTGCTGGACTGCGCCAGGCGCATCCTGGAGCACGAGGGGCCCCGCGCCTTCTACCGTGGCTACCTGCCCAACGTGCTGGGCATCATCCCCTACGCGGGCATCGACCTGGCCGTCTACGAGGTCTGTGGCAGCCCCCTCCCTCCTCCCCGTCCGGAAGGGCCCCCCGGAAAACCCCTCCCCCGGGGCCGGCCCCGCCGGACGCCCCCAACCAAGGAAGGAAAGAAAACAACCTGGGCCTGGGAACCCCCCCCCGGGGCCCCCCCACACGCTCGACACCCCCCCCCCCCCCCCCGCCGAGAAAACCTGGGCTGCGCGGCACACCCCCCCGGGCCCCCCAAAAAACACAGAGACCCCTAGAGCACACAACACCCACAGAACAAAAAAACACGCGCAAAAACACGCGCCTTCCCCACAGCCCGTGTCCGACCCAGCCTCTGTCTCCAAGCCTGTGTCGCCTTCAGGGCCGCCCGTTTGAGCAGCCCTCACCCCATGACTAGCGTCTCGGGGACCTTGATGGAAAAAGGCAGGAGCAGGGAGCTTTTGCCGTTCATATTCCGGGGAGTCCTCATCTGTTGCCTTTCCCTTCTCCCGGTGGGACTGCCAGGTTCCGCCTGCCCTCCCAAGTCACAGCAGCCCCAGATGTCCCCAGGGTTCCCCCCAGAATCTTTGTACCCGAGGCAGGGCCAGCTCCACGGACATGCAACCTATGAAGTCGCTCAGAAAGGCCCCGTATCTGGTTTTGTTTCTTTGTTTTGAGACAAGGTCTTGCTCTGTCACTGAGGCTGGAATACAGCGTCATCATCACAGCTCACTGCAGCCTCAAATTCCCTGGGCTTAAGAGATCCTCCTGCCTCAGCCTCCCAAGTAGCTGGGACTACAGGCACGCGCCACCACGCTTGGCTAATTTTTTTCTATTTTTTATAGAGACGGGGTCTCACTATGCTGCTCAGGCTGGTCTTGAACTCCCGGCCTCCAGCAATCCTCCTGCCTCAGCCTCCCAAAGAGCTAGGGTTACAGGCGTGAGCCACCGCGCACAGCCTCCATTTAGTTTCATGCTCTACTGCTGCCATCTTGAAATTCTTAATAATTTTCCAACAAGGGATCCTCCATTTCTACTTTGCGCTGGATCCCACCAATTACGTAGCCGGCCCTGATCTCAAATACTCGGTAGCATCCATCCATCCTGGTCCTCCCCGGCGCCCTGCATCTAGACGGCCGAGTGAGACAAGGATGTCACTCACCCATTTGTTCCTCCACCTTTTGGTTCACTCATGCGCTTGGCGAGAGCACAGCAAGGTCTGGAAGCAGCAGTGAACTGTGACCTTTTAGAAGAGTAGAAGTCTCAAGTGGCTGGAGAGAACTGATTAGGGCAGAAGGCGTAGTCAGAAGATCGTGCACGGGTTCAACAATGAGGGTATAGGTTTATCCTAAGTGCAATAGGAAGCCATTAATGGCCATGAGCAGAAAAAGGACACAACCTTATTTAATACGTTCTTCAGCCAAAAAAAAAGGGAGTTTGGAAGTCTTAAGAAGTTTTAGAACCCTGAGCCCACTTAGACTTTCAAAATCTGTGTTAGCCTCTTAAAGGCTCTGAGAAGTCCTGCAGTAAATTGACTTAACTCTTTTTCTTTTAGCTCAGTGTTGGCCATAGTTATCTAGTCTTCAGAACCTCTTTTCAACAGACAGCTCTTAATAAGCCATGAAACATCTGTCTGGCAAATGCTGCTCCAAATGCAAAAGAAGGCTACTAAAATTACAAAGGCAACTTGTAAACACTTGCCTTTTTCACCCAGGCTATGCCCGGGCCAGGCATTACTAATCCATCACGGCACTGAATTCCTCTCAACACACTTCCACTTCCAGGCAGCCGTTACCAATGGATTAGAATTGATGTAGGAAATGGCCAGGCGCGGTCATGGCGACATGGCTCACGCCTGTCATCCTGGCACTCTGGGAGGCCGAGGCAGGAGGATGTCTTGGGGCTTATAAAGGCGTGACTCTGTTCTCTGCCTCTGTTGTCACCTGGCTGCCTTAATACGTGTGCACCTCTGTCTCTGTGTCCAGTCCTATTGGGCTAGGGGGCCCACCCTCCTCACCTTCGCTAACTGTATCTGCAGAGATTATTATTTCCATAGATGGTCACATTTTAAGGTGCCGGGGCTCGGGACACCCACATCTCTTTTGCAGGGAGACACAATTGCACCCATAACTGTGGGTTATGAAGCAAGTTATCACTGCGGGCAAATGGAGCTCAGTTTCGCTGGGGACCTCTGGGAGGCAGCACAGGCCGTGCCCTGCCAGAGAGGTGAGGGAGCCGGGGTGTGCGTACCCCGCGCCAGGCATTCGAAGGTTGCTTCTGGAGAATTCTCCCTTTCTTCCTGCCTGCTCCTAAGTGGGCAGAGCAGCCTGGCCCGGCCCGGCCCGGACAAAGTCCTCAGGCCGAGCTGGAAGCCGGCAGGTCTGAAGTGAGGGGGTGAGGGGCGAGGGTGGGGCGCCCCACCTTGGGCAGCGTTATCTGTCTCCCGAGACTGCTGTAACAAATGACCGTGAACTTAGTGGCTTAAAATGACACGAGGTGTCATCTCACGGCTCTAGACATCAGAAGTCCAAGATGCACTTCCGGGGCTTTATAGAATCAAGGTGTTGGCAGGGCTGGGTTCCCCCTCGGAGGTTCTAGAGCAGAGTCTGTTCCCTGGGCTTGAAAACCCTTCCAGAGGCCGCCTGTGTTCCGTGGCGCGGGTCCCTTCCTGCGTCCTCAAAGCCAGCAGCGTGGAATCGTCCCATCCCTCCCTCCCTCCCTCCCTCGCCCTCTCTCCTCTGCCTCCATTTTCACATCCACCATCTACTCTTCTCTTCTAAAGGCTCGAGATGGCCTCGGGCCACCAAGACCATCCAGGATAATCTGCCCCATCTCAAGGTCCCTAACTGAATCCCATCTGCAGGGTCCTTTGTGCCACGTCAGGTAGCATGTGCTCGGGCTCAGGGCTCTAGGGCCTCATTATTCCCATGGCCCAGGGATCATTGAGCAGGGGGGTCTAGGAAAAGAGCTGGCACAGCCCCCGGGAGGCACTGAGTGCCTCTTGGCTGGTACCCGCCGTCATGGGGTGCAGAGCTGGCCGGCAAGGTCCTGCTGTTAGTCTAACCCTCTTCCCTCCTGCTGCAGTGGCCGCCTGGCCCAGCCCTGGGGAGACGGGAGTGGGAAGGAAGAGGGGAATTTTGGCCTTATCTAGCCCCCCACCTCCTGCCAAGCCTCTGCTGTGGGTGGCCCCCGCCCCACCCCCAGCTGTCCACGCCAGGGTCCGGGTATCCCCCAAACCACGCCACCACTCCCTTCTCCACTCCAGACCCTGAAGAACTGGTGGCTCCAGCAGTACAGCCACGACTCGGCAGACCCAGGCATCCTCGTGCTCCTGGCCTGCGGCACCATCTCAAGCACCTGCGGCCAGATAGCCAGTTACCCCCTGGCCCTGGTCCGGACCCGCATGCAGGCCCAAGGTGAGGCCTGGGCGGGAGGATGGGACGAGTCCAGCCTCACCACGCGGGCCGGCCCCGGGCTGGGACCCTCCAGCATTTAGATGGCCCGTCCGGGTCCCAGTGACCTACTGGTGACATCCGAACGGGTGTCCTTGACCCTTAGGTCGCTGTGGATTAACCAGGGCGAGCTCCCTGGCAGCCTTAGCCGGGAGGCCACTGTTGGCCATGGCCTGGCGTTTCCAGGCTGGTAACTCGAGCTCGGACTCGCAAGCGTAGGGAGAGCCAGGGATCTGGGGACTGTCACTGTCATTTGCATTTTTCTTCTATGGATGGGTCTTCTCCCCAACACACAGCCCCACCCCCACCCCCAAGCCTCCCACCACCTGCGAGTCTGTTTTGAGAATTTCCTCGGGAATTTTAGCGTTTTGTGATTTTTCTCCCTGGAGATGTATCAGGGCAGGAGACAGACGAGGGCCCGCCGTCCTAGAGCTCCCGGGCCAGAGAGCCGGAACGGCGCTAAATAAATCATTCCACGATTAAGTATTGATAGCGGGTTCACCGAAGGGGTGGAGGACTTAGGCTGGGGTGACAAACAGGGCTCCCCTGAAGAGCTGGCTTTGGAATAGAGGGTGGAGGGTGCATAGGAGCTGGCTGGGGACAGGGGGGCGTGGAGCTCCAGAGAGGGGACATGTCTAGCCCATCTCCCACCAAACACACACACATATCTGCTCTGTTTCTAATCATCCTCAAACTTGGGGTGAAAGGGTGAGCTGCCAGTGCCAAGGCCAGTAGAAGTCCTGACTCAAAGCAGTAGGTCCCACTGTGAGTCTAACCTGCTTCCCTCCTGCTGCAGCGGCCACCCGGCCCAGCCCTGGGAGGGGAGGTGGTCACAGGGTGAAGTGGGAGGGGAACTTTGGCCTTACCTGGCCCCCTGCCCCCTCCCAGCCTCCATCGAGGGCGGCCCCCAGGTGTCCATGCTGAGTCTGCTCCGTCACATCCTGTCCCAGGAGGGCGTGCGGGGCCTCTACCGGGGCATTGCCCCCAACTTCATGAAGGTTATTCCGGCCGTGAGCATCTCCTATGTTGTCTACGAGAACATGAAGCAGGCCTTGGGGGTCACGTCCAGGTGAGGGACACGGAGCCCGGCCCCCTGCCCTGCGACCCCTCACCCAGGTCACGACGTCCCCTACACCTCGCTGATGACCCAACCAAGGAGCCCCGCACTTCAGCCACTGGATCCCGACACTCCAACTCTAGATCCCAGGTACCCCCCGTCCTGCCACCTCACCTGTGGATCCCGCACTTTGGCAGCCGGAGTCTGACGCCCGGGCCACCAGACCCCAGAGCATCCACGCCCCAGCCCTCAACCCCTCCCTGCCCCCAGACCACCAGACCCCGCACCCCCAAGGTGGATTGCACTGTGTGCTTGACCTCCGCATCTTAACCACTGGATCCCACTTAACTCAGCGAATGGATCCCGACACCCCAACCACAGGAGCACATGTCACCCCGCCTGTACCCCAGCTCCCTCGGGCACCCGACCCGGCGTCCTGGCGCAGCTCTGGATCCCAGGTCCCCCAACCCCAGATCCGCACGCCCCGAGCACTGGCTCCTGGGTCCCTGCACCTCAAGCCCCACACCCTCGGCCCCCAGCCACAGGATCCCAGATGCCCAGGCACCAACTCACTGGATTCTGGCGCCTAAAACCTATGCAGGAGCCCAACAGCACAGCAGTCTGCAGCCACTGGACTCCAGATTCTAGAACCCAAATCCTTCTGCCCCGTATGGCTGGGTACTGAGACCTCACGCACAGAAGGGTCCGGCCCTTGGTTCCTGGTTTCCCGTCTGCATGTTCCAGGCGCTGGGTTCCGAGTGCTCAGGCTCTGTAATCTAGACCCCAATAGACCAATCGCAGCCTCCCGGGTCCCACACGGCCGCGTCCCAGACCCACGCCAGAGCCTGGTGGCTCCGCCATGAGACCACATGGTCTGCGGACCCGCAGGGAAGCCCCGACCCCACCTGCCCCACAGCTCCGGGAAACCTAGAGGATTTGTCCCAAGTCCTGGTATGGGACATCGCCAGGCAGCAGGGGAAGGGGGCCTGTCCCCCGACCCGCGTGGGTCCTGGGCCCTCCCGCACCTCCTGGTCCTGGGGGGGTGGGGTCCCTTCCCTGGAACCTCTTCCATTCCCTCCCCAGCCCACCCCCTTCCCACCTCACAGGCCCTAACCCCCAGGGCCCCGGGGTCCTTTGGAGGAGCCAGTCGCTCATGCTTGGGGGCCTCAGAAGTCGGAAGCCAGAAGCAAATTTGCATAGCCCACCCTTCCCTAAATCCAAGCATCCAAATTATGCAAAAGCAAACAAACAAACAAAAAGCCAAATTCCAAAACTCATTCCGGGTCTATTTTTGTAGCAGAGAGAGGAGCGAAGCCTCCCTCCCCCTCCAACCCAAGCCCCAGCCCCCCACCCCCACGTTCTGCACTTTATAGCTGGAGTCTGAGCTTAGGATAATCGGGGGACCCCATGGACAGACATAGAGAGACAGCCTGGGGTGTTGGGGGGCTGGAGGACCCCCCCCCACGGCTTCCACCTCCACCGTGCCCCGCCTCCCTGCCTGTGTGTGTTATTTCAAAGGAAAATAACAAAAGGAATAAATTTTCTAAGCTCTTTTACTGTGGTTTTTCCTGAAAAGGGATGGGTGGATGTGGGACCCCCTAAACCTGCCCCCGGGGAAGGGACATGGGGCGGCTTCCCATCGCACAGTTCTAAGAGCCAGGAAATGACCCTCCTTCAGCCTCAGTTTCCACATGTAACAGAAACGGGGGGGGGGTCTATATGACTCCTTCTAGTTTTATTCTGTATTTTTTTTCTAATTACATGAGGGTATTGGTTTCCTAGGGCTGCCGTTACGAATTACCACAAACTGGATGACCCAAAACAACAGGAATTTTTATTAACCTTTTTAAAATCAAATACAAGATGTGAAATTAACCATTTTACCCATTCTTTAAAGTTTACTATTTTTCTTTTTCTCTTTAGAGACAGGGGGTGGGGGGGGGTCTCACTGCGTTGCTCGGGCTGGTCTCGAACTCCTGGCCTCAAATGATCCTCCCACCTCAGCCTCCCAAAGTGCTGGGATCACAGGTGTGAGCCACCACGCCCGGTTCATTTTAACCATCTTTAAGTGTAAATTTCTGTGGCAGCAAGAACACATTCATGTCATTGTGCAAGGATGTCCCCTTCCGTCTCCCCTCCATGCCCTGACAGCCTCCATTCTACTTTCTGTCTCTGTGACTCTAAGGACCTCGTATAAATGGAATCCTACAGTATTTGTCATTTTGCATCTGGTTTACTCCACTTAGCGAAACACCTACGAGGTCATCCACGTCGTAGCATGTGTCAAAAATTCCTTCCTTTGTGTGGCTGAGTAAGAGTCCCCTGTACGGATGGACCACACTGTGTTCATCCACTCGTCCGTCAGTGGCCACTCGGGTTGCTTTCACCTTTGGGCTACAGTGAATAAAAATTCCGGAGGCTAGAAACGGAAGAGGATACCTTTCCGTATTTTGCCAAGTGCCTATTTCCAAATAAGGTCACCTTTACAAGTCCCAGGAGTTAGGACTTAAGCCACACATGTGTGGTGGATAAAATTCATCCCACAACAAGTGCTTCAAATTCGTTGCAGAAAAAAACAGAAAATTCAGAATATCGATTAGATAGAAATATATATGCGTGCATCTCAAAGCCCCTACATAACCACCGTGAGGCTGTTGACTTAAATTCTTCGGAACTTTTTCCTGTGTAGACTGTGATCGTCACCCTTCAAGGTGTTCCCCCAACGGCTCTTTCCTCTTAGTAATTATGCTCCTGTGAAGTTCCCTCTCTCATTGTCCCGGGGTGGGTCCCTTTGACCAAGAGAATGCAGAATCGATGGTATATTACATCCACGATCGGGGTTATAGAAAACACAGCAGCTACTATCTTGGTGACATTTCTCTCTCTGTCTCTCTCTCTCTCTGGTATCATCTGCTCTGAAGGAAGCCAGTGATGACAAGCGCCAGCCAGTACCCATGTAACAGAACTTGGAAGAGGATCGCCCCATCTCTGGCCAACCCCACAAGAGACCCTGGAGACCCCAAGCCTTGGAGATCCTTCCACCCAAACAACTGGATCTCAGATCCCGGATCCTGAAATCGTAGACCCCTATGCCTCAAACACTGGATCACAAGGACACCCAGGTAAGCTGCTGCTGACTTCTCAACCCTCAGAACTGAACCTGGGTGAGATGAAAAATGTTTGTTATTTTAAGCCGTTAAAATTTCTTTGGAGGGGAGTAATTTGTTACACAGCAATAGCTAGCTAATACATACACAGTTACATATATTTGATTTTCTGTGCACTAGGAAAAAGGATCAAACCTTGCTAACTATTTTGTATGTTTACTTCTTCTAAGTTATATTTTTATATCGCATGACAGTCTGGCTGCGAAGTAGGAAGCTCTGCCAACTACCATGCAGTATGACCTCTGACAGACTCAGTTTCCCTCCCTACATCAGGGGTGTTTCAACTGACATTGTTAAAACAAAAAGAACTCATATTTAGTGAGCAAGTACTATGCTCCCTCACCCTGTGACAAGGCTTTCTTTTTTTTTTTTTTTTTTTTGAGACAGAGTCCCACTCTGTTGCCCAGGCTAGAGTGAGTGCTGTGGCATCAGCCTAGCTCACAGCAACCTCAAACTCCTGGGCTCAAGCGATCCTCCTGCCTCAGCCTCCCGAGTAGCTGGGACTACAGGCATGCGCCACCATGCCCGGCTAATTTTTTCTATATATATTAGTTGGCCAATTAATTTCTTTTTATTTATAGTAGAGACGGGGTCTCGCTCTTGCTCAGGTTGGTTTCGAACTCCTGACCTCGAGCAAATCCGCCCGCCTCGGCCTCCCAGAGTGCTAGGATTACAGGCGTGAGCCACCGCGCCCGGCCATGACAAGCCTTTTAATGTATTCTTGCATTCATTTATTCATTGAACACTTACTATGTCCCAGACCCAGTGCTAGACACGGGATACAGGATGAAACAGACAAACATCTCTGCCCTCATAGATGCTACATTCTAGTGAGGAGACACTGACAATAAATAACACGAATAAATATACAGCAGTGTAGAAAGCAAACAGGTAAATAAAAGCCGGGGAAAGGATAGCAAAGATTGCAGGGCAGGGTTTAAATTTTAAATAGGGTGGTCTAGGAAGGCCTCATAAAGGTGACAGGGTTTTTTTTGTTTGTTTTTTTGAGACAGAGTCTCGCTTTGTTGCCCAGGCTAGAGTGAGTGCCTTGGCGTCAGCCTAGCTCACAGCAACCTCAAACTCCTGGGCTCAAGCCATCCTCCTGTCTCAGCCTCCCGAGTAGTTGGGACTACAGGCATGCACCACCATGCCCGGGTAATTTTTTCTATATATTTTTAGTTGGCCAATTAATTACTTTTTATTTATAGTAGAGACGGGGTCTCGCTCTTGCTCAGGCTGGTTTTGAACTCCTGACCTCGAGCAATCCACCCACCTCAGCCTCTCAGAGTGCTAGGATTACAGGCGTGAGCCACCTCGCCCGGCCAAGGTGACAGTTGAATAAAGACTTTAACGTGGTGGGGAAGAGAGCCATGGCATGTCTAGGGGAAAAGCACTCTGGGAAGAAGGCACAGCCCGTGCAAAGGCCCTGGGGCAGGACCGCACCTGGCGTGTTGGAGGCACAGCGAGGAAGCCCGTGTGGCTGGAGCAGAGTGAGGAGGGGAAGAGAGTAGTATGGAGGGGATGGGGGAGGACTTGGGCTTTGACCCAGAGGAAAGTGGGAGCCATGGAGGGCTGGGGGCAGAGGAGGAGGGATGGACCCTGACTCAGGTGCTCACAGGCACCCTCTGGTGGCTGCTGAGGGGAGGACAGACTGGGACAGGGAAAGGCAAGGGCAGGACCCAGGGACCAGGGGCAGCTGAGGGTGGCGCCCCCACGTGGACACTGAACGAAGCAGCCAGAGTGTGGATGTATTTGGAAGGCTAAGCCAACAGGCTTTGGGGATTTGAGTGTGGGCACGAAAGGGAAAAAAGGAGTCAAGGAGGAAGTCGAGTATTTCGACCTCAACAAGCCAGATGACGGAAGTGCCCTCCGCTAAGCTACACCCTGTAGCAGAGCTCATCGTTACTTCCAACTTCCAGATGGGGAAACGGAAGCTCAGAGAAGGAAAGTGGGAAGCCCAAGATCACACAGCAACAAGCACTCAAGATGGCATTGGAGCCAGGAACATCTGACGTCAGACCTACGCCAGTCTCGCTTTGGGGACCAACTGTGTCTCTCTCTCCCGGAGCTCCAGAGCCATCTCCTCGTCTCTCGCTTAGCCGCCGTGACAGTGAAACCCAGTGTATGAGTCTCCTTTGGCTGCTGTAACTAGTGACCACAATGCAGAAGCTCCAAGGGAAAATCCATTTCCTGCCTTTTCTGGCTTCTAGAAGCCACCTGCATTCCTGGGCTCATGATTCCCTTCCTTCCTCGGCGAGAAAGAGGAGGACAGAGAACAAACAGTGGCTCCAGCAGCACTGTAATCCCAGTAGCACTTTGGGAGGCCAAGGCGGGAGAATTGCTTGAAGCCAGAAGTTCAAGGCCAAGCTGGGCAACATAGCAAGACCCCACCTTTGGAAAAAAAAATAAGAAAAATCATCTAGGCGGTGTGGTTCGTGCCTGTAGTCCCGGCTACTTGGGAGGCTGAGGCAGGAGGATCCCTCAAGCCCAGAAGTTGGAGGCTGCAGTGAGCCATGGTAACACCACTGGACTCCAGCTTGGGTGACAGAGCAAGACCCGAGCTCTGATCTCCCTTTTCTTATAAGGGCACTAATCCTATCACGGGGGCCCCACCCTCAAGAACTCATCTAGCCCTAAGTGCCTCCCAAATGCCCCACCTGCAAATCCCATCCCACTGGGGGACAGGACTTCAACATAATAAGGTTGGCGGGACACAAGATCCAGCGCACTGCAAGCACACAGTCACCGGTTTGGGGGTCAGGACGTGAACCTTTGTAAGGGCCAGGGAAGGATCATAGCTCTGCCCGCCACACTCAGCAAGGTCACAGGGCTTCTATGACCTCACTGTCCCCTAAGCGCCCCACCCACCAGACACCGGGCAGGCAGTGGCCAGTAGCCGGACAGGCAGACGACTCCTCAGGAATTTGAATCCAGGCGTCCTCACCTCTAGCTGCCATGGGGCCTCCCGGCCAGGAGGCTGAGAAGCCTTACTCGAGGGTGCAGACCCTGCTGAAGAGGGTCAAGGCCCTCGTCACCAAAGCCCCACCGCCGCCGCCCCCACCCCCGCCCCCACCCCCGCCCCCGCCGCCACCCCCGCCGCCCTCCTGGAACCCAGGCTGCACCCACGTGTACGGGTACGTGTTCGGGCACGTGCGTGAAAGCAACCCGGAGCACCTGCCGTCCCAGCAGGTGAGCCGATTGAGAGTTCCACCTGGAAGGGCCAGGTCTGGGGGCGGGGGCGGGGGGCCGTCTCACCAGGAGGGTGTCCCAGAGGCCAGCCTGGGGAGCGAGCGAGGGTGGGCCAGGGCCGGCTGTGCCCCCGCAGGTCCTGGACACGGGGGAGCAGCTGATGGTCCCCGTGGAGGTCCTGGAGGTGGACAACGAGG